ATATATATATATATATACTGTATGTGTGTGTGTGTGTTTTAATAATAAAATAATTTGTTTTATTTATTAATTTACAATTATATATGAATATATATTATATAATTATATTACACTGTTCAATTTAGTGTGTGTGTGTATTTATTGTTAATTTAATTCACAGTTATATTATTTTTGTTAATATATTTTATTATTATTTATATTGTAATAGTAAAATGTTTGTTTTATTATGTTATCTTAATCTAGATTTATGTTTATTTCTAAATATACTTATATTTTATTAATATGTTTTAATTTGATGAAATATAATGTTTTTTATATGGATTAATTTAAGATAATATTTTTATACATTTTTATCATTACATTACACTGCTGTGTTGACTTTACATTACAATAAAATATTTTGTTTTATTTATTAATTTACAATAATGTTCATTTATAAATATACTGTTGTTCATTGCTAATTTACAGTTCTATTATTTTTGTTAGTCTTATATTTTATTAATATTTTTATTTTAATAATAAAATGTTGTATTATTAGTTATTAATCTAGAGTTATGTTCATTTATAAATATATTTTATTAAGATTTTTTATTTTGGTAAGTTACGATTTTTTTTATTATCAGTTCTTTGAACTGGCAGTAACGGGACCTAGATTAAATAGTGTAAAATTCAGAGTGGAAGCATGTAGAATGAACTTCACTGTGCAAGCCTCTGCACTGTATTTTAATTAAGTTAGATTATTTGATTAAAACAGTAATTTTGGAAGCATGTTGTCCCCGGCCCCTGATTGAGAACCGCTTACCCAGATCCATCCCGATCAAACATAAAAGTATCTTCTCTATCTGAATGTGAAGTTGTGACCATAACAGAAGGCTGTGATGGATCTGCCGCTACACTGTAAAAAATGACCGTGAATTTAACGGTAAAAGACTGTAAAAATGCTACAGTAAAAACCTGTTAAATGGTTAACGGTAAATTCCCCTACTATATACGGTGGAAAACTGTATTGGACATTACATGTATTGGACATAAATTTTACGGTAGTATACCGTTTTTGGAAGGGAAAAATACCGTATAATTTACAGTGAATAACCGTAAATTGACATTCCCAGAATTCCCTGCGTTACATTTAAAATTTGATGTTTTTTTGTTGAAATAACTGTTTCTTCTTAGTTTTTTTCTTATCAGATTTGCATATTAGGGTTGTGTGTTACGCCTAATGTTGTTAAATGAATGTTTATTGCATTATTTCAGTTTCATGTGTGTTACCATGATGGTGTTTAGCGTTTGTGTGAATGACACTGTGCACCTTCTATATATGTTGTTATTTAATAGCTGCTTGTGATGGGCTTTGGTTCGTCATGTGACGTTCTCATCACCCCCTGCATTTGGTGGTTATCAGTGTATTACAAAAGTACAAAACAGATTTCAGTACTTCAATAGGTTGGTATATTAACATTATATCAGTTAATGAAATTATGGTATTTAACTGTAAATTTAAGTTAAAACCGTAAAACCTAAAACGTTGCTACCGTATTTTTTACGGTAAAATTCCGGCAACCACAGCTGCCAGTTTTTTACCGTAAATTTTACGGAATTTTTTTTACAGTGTAGAGGAATCTGCAGCGTTTGAAGAAACAGACAGTGATTCACTGAGCACACCCAATTCATTCAGCGTGTGAGTGTGTTTTTGCTTTGCAGCGATGGCAGTTGTGTGTGAGACTCCAGTGTGAGCGGCGCAGTAGGAAGGGACGAGAGCTCTTCAGTTCTGATCAGGCTTTAGTGAAATTCCTCACTCAGCAAATGTGAATGAGACTCTCAGTGACGCGTCCCCACAGGAATCTCTCTCTCTCTCTCTCACACACACACACACACTAACCTGCATGGACTGAAGTGTGGAAACACATCACTGATGTTTCACTCACACACAATCTGCAAAGAACAACATTTGTCCACTAAAAGGTCAGTTATTGTTTGCGTTACAGGTTTAAGGGTTATTAAACAAGCTAATATTTACCACAAGCATCAAAATGCATTCTACGCTATTCTGTTCTATTCTACAGGGAAAAAACAGGGAAAGTCGTCAAATGTGAAGTTGTCATGGGGGCTTCTAAAGTCTAGGTATTTCAAGTCGGGGCAGGTTGTCACATTTTATATGTTGTAATGTTATACGATTAATTACAGTTTCTATGAACCAAAATAATGGTTTGATATTTTGTATTACCTTTTGTGTTTTTTGCTTTTACAAATTTCTTTGGATTATAGTTGTGTTTATTGGTTCATTTGTTATTCATATTTGTTTTACTGATTAAATTTTGCTCAAATGTCATATAATATAGGCCAGACTTTAAATCAATAGGGGGCCCAGCAATTATGGTTTGATCTAGTTTGCAAAATGAAAGTATGCATTAAAGAAAAATACAATATTAAGTTTAGAATTTCAACCAAAACTTTTTTAAACATCATTGTCCCTTCCATATTAAAATGTATTAAGTCAAATTAAAATGTAATACATGTATATAACTCTGTAATCCTGTACGTGTATTGTACTAAAAAAAAAAAAAAATTAATTAAATGGAATTAAGCTGAAATAAATGTAAATATTAATATAAGATGGAATGCTTACACATTCAAAAACTTAAAATTAGAAATGTTGCCTTTGAAACAAAATAATAATAATTTAATGAGAATAAAGTCATAGCATTGGGAGATTAAAGTCTTAATATTTTCATAATAAAGTCCAAATGACCAGAACAAAGTAATGGCAATACCAGAAAAGTTAATAATTTAAGACTTTGTACTTTATTCTCAAAATATTATAACTAGTTTCACAATGCTACGACTTCATTCTCCTAATCTTTATTATTTTGTATATGGCATTAAAACTTGTAAAAATGGCTCAAACTAAAACTGGAAAAAGAAAAAAAAAGTTAAATAGAAATAAAATCAAAATAAAATGACAAAAGCATAAAAAAATTACTACAACTAAAACTAAATTTGAAAAATTGAAATATAAAAATAAAAGTTATTTCATTTATTATAATTAATAATATATAATAAACTAACACCTCATCAATACTGTTAATTTTATTATTAATAATAATGATAATAATAAGCATTGATTTTTTTTAAATGGTGTTTTTTATCCAGCAAGGGATTTAAAAAAAAACAAGTTTTTCATGTTGAAGACCTCTTATTTAAGATATTTACCATAAACTGACTTTGAAAAACATCTGTCTGTCTCGTGAATAGAAAGCGATTTTTCCGGATCCAAATGTCGCCACACTCCACTCCAGGTTTTCGCTCCGTCTTTCCTTAAAAGCATTCGGAGTTTAAAGCGCAGAAAAACACGCCAGTGGGTTCAGCGTGTGTGTGTGTGTGTGTGTGTGTATGTGTGTGTGTGTGTCCAGTCGAACGGAGGATGGAGGACGAGCCGCGAGAGACCCTGGACTGACGGAGGAGGAGGGGGTCTTGCTTTTTACATGGAACCTGTTTGCGTTTTCCTCCAAAGGTGGATTTTATACTGAAACACTACATGACAAAATGCCATTTGCCAAGCGGATCGTGGAGCCCCAGTGGCTGTGCAGACGCGCGGACGCGGATGAGGAGGGTCTCCTGCGCCAGGACCTCTGCGCCTTCAGTAATGTGGCCCTGTCCCGGACCCTGCGCCAGCTGTCGGATCTGGCCAAACACGCCTGCTCGCTCTTCCACGAGCTGGAGCACGAGCTGCTCGCCACGAACCGGCGCGTCTGTGCGCTCCGGGAGAAGATGAGCAGGATCCAGGAGACCACCGGCGCGCTCGACCCCAAACAGGAGGCAGTGCGTGAGTACCTACCCCGCTCCAGGAGTGTCTTTTGTATCCAAAAAAGTGATGAAGAGTTCGTTTTCTCAAGGTTTAGTCCTGCGTAATGGTGATCGATTGCACTTGCGATCTTTGGGTCACCAGTCCAGATGTTTTACCGCTCGGACACATCACACAAACAGCCCTTACAGAGTTATGTAATGCAAGTATTTGTTTACTTTTGCGCGCTCTTGTCTCCTCTCCAGCGCGCACGACTGATGGTCAAGTGGTTAAAGATCTGGACTTGAGACCGAAACTTGTAGGTTCGACCCCAATATAAAGTGATTCATGGACTATCCACTTGATCAAAACTCTCTAAACATTCAGGTTACTCTAAGGGGCGCATGTGGTTATATGGTTTCTAGGTAGACCATCTTGATCAAGCTGGTTTTTAGATCCTAGACCAGCTAGAAACCAGCAAACATGTTCCAAAACGCAGCTACTGTAGGGCTGTGAGTCACTGTGGAGAATGTGGTGAAAGTAGTTGGTTTATGTAGTGAAGGACAGCAGAAGGGGGGTGTGTGCTCTTCACACCAGATGACATTGGGAAAACATGATTCTTGTTACTGAGAACATCATTTCCGTGTTGCGTAAGAACAGATTCTGTCATTTATGCACATGCGAAAGTGAAACCAGCCTGATGTCTGTGATCCGTGATGAATCGAGTCAGAGCGTGTGTTTCTGTTGGAAGCTGTGCTTCGTTTGTGTGGTATGATGAGATTAGTAAGGTTAGATTAGTAAAGTTTTGTGTATTTGCTGATTTCAAATGGACCTGCAAGAGTGAAAGAGAAAGTCTTTTTTTTATTTTTTTTTTTTAAAGTGTTTTAAAGTCTCTGGCCTTTTGGATTTATTATTATTATTATTATTATTATTATTATTAATCATGATAGTGTTTTAATAATATTTAATTATAATAGTAATTATTTATTATGTTTTATGTTTTGTATAATTTTATTTATAATTTATTGTTTCTTATTTATTAATAATATTACAACTATTAATAATAATAATTATGCACATTTAAATAATTAAATAAAATATTAAATATTAAAAAATATTACATGATAAAATATTAATGAAATAATACAAAATATAAAACAATAAAATTAGATAATACTTATAATAATTATAATAATAATTTTCTTATTATTATTATTGTATTTTTTGTTTTGTATTATTTTATTGTTTCATATTCATTTTAAATGTTTTATATAATAATAATATCACATTTATTTAATGTGTTGTTTTATATTTTGTATTATTCCATTTATATTTTGCTTAATTATTTTATTTAATTGTTTTATAACAACAACAACAGCAGCAACAACAACAACAACAACAACAACAACAACAACAACAACAACAACAACAACAACAACAATAATAATAGTAAATATTTTGTAAAATATGAAAACAATAATAAACAAATGATATAACTAAAATAATACAAAATATAAAACATAAAATTAAAATTGATATTATTATTGCTGTTGTTGTTATTGTGATCAAAACATCTGGCATTGTAGAAAAGTCCATAATGTTCTCTTTAAGAGACACTTGGACTTAGCATGGATGATCTTAAAGATTTTGATAAATACACATGACCACCATAGTGGACAGGATTGAAAGAAATATTTCAGAAGAGCTGAAAGATTCTATCAAATTATTATGGTTGTTTTTGTTATTTTATTATTTATTTATTTATTTATTGTTCAAGGTTAATGTAAAACTGCGAAAATGTAAACTGTGAGTAGTTCATCAAAGAATGGATGTTTGTTATAGCAGAAAACCCTCTACGGTGCTGTCAGGACGTTCTGTCTCCTCATGCTGTCTGAATCTCCTGATCTTCAGGGTCATTTCGGGGGAATGTGGTGTTTATGGAATAACACCCAACCTGGCGTGTCCTTCCAGCCCTCCTTCCTTCCCCGTCCCGTCTTTCTTTAGCCACTTATAGTTTATTTTGCTCTGGGAGGTCTCATTCAAACACTTTCCTCATGAGGTTCGTTTCTGTGTGTGACCCATTCAGGGAAGTCTGGCCCAACTGAGACTCTGAGAGGATCCTGAGCAAAGTTCACAACACATCAGCTTGTGTAATCCAGCTCCCTTTAGACAATCCATAAGGCTGGAATCTCCGCTCCAGCAGTCTGTTTCAATAACTGAATAAGTGCCTGTTTCCAGCCTCTCGTTCCTGTTTAACCTGTCATTTGGAGGTCAAATGTCACTAATGCACTTCGTCCAGCACTAGTCGCTGGTACCTGCGGGTCATTATGGGTCAGACAGATGGATTTCGTCATTAATCAAATAGATTGGGATCTTTTGTTTGTGTCAGTCTGCTTAAACATGACATCGTAATTATGGTTATTCATCAAACCAACCCCATAAAGGTTTATTTTTCATTTTTGCCAGCAGTTACAACAGACTTGAGCGGAGAGGAGACCGAATCATGCAAAAGTTTTAGTTACAAAGCCATTTTAAAGAGAGAGAGAAAAAAATCCAGACACATTTGTCATGCATTATCAGTCAAAAATGTGCAAAATATGCGATTACCAAATTGAAGTGAGTAGTATTCAGTAGGTGCACGATCAATCAAAATAAAACCAAAATCACAATATGGTTTGGTGTGATAATCAAATCATATTCAAATTTAGTTAAATAAATATATGGCTACATGTTTCAGAGTAAAGTGTGGCACTGAAGAGAAACTTTAAGGACTTGACTGCAATTTTTCATTAAAATAAAAGTTGGATGGTTTGGTTTAACTTTTGAAAATTTAAAATAAATAAATAAATAAATAAGCCATAAATATTAGTATTGAAATGTAAAAGTTGAAAATAAAATTATTATTATTAAATACTTTTTTATTTTACCGTGAAATATTACAATAGTATTCTTATTTGTTTTATTTAGTCATTTTTATATTATTGTTATAATTATTATTTAGCCATATTGATTGATACATACTCACAATATTTTAGCCAAATTGTGCAGCCCTACAAACCTGCATTTTTTTTTAATAGCAATCACAATTTTTATTTTTATTTTTATTTCTATTAGATTTTTTTGCCCCAAATTGTGCAGTCTTAGTATTCTGCTATTATGTGGAATGTTATGTAGAATAAAACCTATGTTTAGACTCCTGACAAAGTACTATTTTTAACTTTTTATGTGGAAAAATGTACTTGGTGCACCTTTATGTGTATTTTTACATTGATTTTATCATTGCTCATACTCAAGGTTAGAGCTCTGTTTAAATCCTAAATATTAAACTTTAGTGTGTAACTTGAGCCTGTAAGCAGCCGCCCAGAGCGCCCTAAAAAACACTAAACCACTCTGAACACCTTAGCAACCACTTAGCAACATCCTGTGATCCATCCAAACAGTCTAGCATTGTGGCACAGGTTTTATGTTGGCAATCTCAGCTCATATTTTCTTCAGAAAATGTAAAACTGGTTTCTGAGCTAACAGCTGGTATTGTGAGGATGATGTTGGTTTCTCATATCAGAGGAACTTTTGAAGTCTGTGTTATTGTTGTGGTAATGATATATTGAATAGATTTGTGTACACCCTTTCCCAGCACCATAATTACCCTCCATCAGCCCTTTCACAGTGATTGTCTCTTGTGCGCTTTAACAACAGAGCAGCTAATATGAATCTGAATC